GACAAATTAGAAAGACTTTTATTAATGGCTGATCATGCTAAACTTCTCGAAATGATTTTACTGATGAATTTCAATTCGGTTCTATGTGGAAAAACAATCTGTGTGTTTTGTGTAGGAGTTTCCAATCAGTTTTGAGAACTTCAAATTAGTTTTAAGAATTCTTTGAGAACCTGAAACAGCTGAAATTGAACACTTCTTCTCAAGTAAACTGACGGTATAATGAGCGCTAGAAGCCGATCTGTGCTCACCATCAGCAAACACAACGATGTCAATGGCTCCGACCTAAACACCTTGAATTTGTTACTGCTTCATGTAATGTTGAGATTCGTTTGCACATAATGCACTGCACGCTGTCATTTTTGTATCATTTTAAACAAGCTTCTATAAAGTTTTATTGGCTTCAATGGTCATCAAAATGTTTAGTAATTAGGCATTGCTAAATGACATGACAGAGATTGTTTAGATGATAACTTTGAAATAGCATAAGTTGAGTGCAAGGGTTTTGACATGAAGTCTTCTGATATTTATGGTTGTGCAGTAAAAATTGCCCGAGATGCAACTGAGCGCTTACTAGGAATTATTTAAAGGCCTCGAAATGAGTTAGGAACTCACCAAACGGCAATTATATTCCATGGCATAAACATACAGAAGCGTGAACTTCTCAGCCTATTTTGATGAATGTAAGTGACTACTAAGCGTCCAAGTCCCGCTGATGTGAGTGCAAAACCGCTTGAAACATCCACGCAAATCTAAAATACGAATTCGATTAGCTAATAAAACTGTGGAATCAAGCGATGATCGATGTGTGTTGCTTTATATAATAATATTCATAGCATATCGAAATGTTGTGTGCGATCAATATGGCAGCAAAAACTCGTGTTAAAATTTGAATTTGACGATGTATTACCTGGAAGAGTTGAATCAGGTAACGTTGACGGAGCACATAATGTTTGAGAATTGTTATCGCAAGAAGTGCATTCGTAATCATCAGAATCGAGCCTTGTAGAATATAAACGTAATGCATTACGATGAGACCATTTGGCATTACGATTGCATTATGTGGAATTATCGCAGATGTTGAGGCTATCAGATACGATAAATTGCTGTCATCAACCAAATTATCGATGTGAATTGCGGTGAAGTTGATTTGATGATCGTATTCAGTAGCATTCATTTCGTTGCTGATTCGAGTCAATGCATCAAACGTGACAGTAGATGGCAACAGCGGAAATCCTTTTGGTTGTATCAAGCGATTTTCAACAGAAAGCAATTCAACTATTGACTATA